CTGCAGTTTGCTAATGGTTTAGGGAAGGATGCCGCATAAGCTGCTCTTCCACGTCGCCCAGGTCTCCAGTGAGTATACTTTATGTATGCAGTAATGTATGGCGCAATGTGTGACGCATTTTGTTGTTGTGTGACATGCGTGTTGCGGGGGCGTATTGTGTGTTGTTTGGTGTATTGTGTGATATGTTGCGTGTGGTGAGGTATATTGTGTGATATGTTGCGTGTGGTGAGGTATATTGTGTGATATGTTGCGTGTGGTGAGGTATATTGTGTGATATGTTGCGTGTGGTGAGGTATATTGTGTGATATGTTGCGTGTGGCGAGGTATATTGTGTGATATGTTGCGTGTGGTGAGGTATATTGTGTGATATGTTGCGTTGTGGTGAGGTATATTGTGTGATATGTTGCGTGTGGTGAGTATATTGTGTGATATGTTGCTGTGGTGAGGTATATTGTTGTGTATGTTGCTGTGGTGAGGTATATTGTGTGATATGTTGCGTGTGGTGAGGTATTGTGTGAATGTGCGTGTGGTGGTATATTGTGTGATATGTTGCGTGTGGTGAGGTATATTGTGTGATATGTTGCGTGTGGTGAGGTATATTGTGTGACATGTTGCGTGTGGTGAGGTATATTGTGTGACATGTTGCGTGTGGTGAGGTATATTGTGTGATATGTTGCGTGTGGTGAGGTATATTGTGTGACATGTTGCGTGTGGTGAGTATATTGTGTGACATGTTTTCGTGTGGTGAGGTAAAATTTTTGTGATATGTTGCGTGTGGTGAGGTATATTGTGTGACATTTGCGTGTGGGAGGTATATTGTGTGACATGTTGCGTGGGTGAGGTATATTGTGTGATAAGTTGCGTGTGGTGAGGTATATTGTGTGACATGTTGCGTGTGGTGAGGTATATTGTGTGACATGTTGCATGTGGGAGGATATTGTGTGATATGTGCGTGTGGGGGAGGTATATTGTGTGACATGTTGCGTGTGGTGAGGTATATTGGGTTGGGCATGTTCGTGTGGTGAGGTATATGGGTTTGATATGTTGCGTGTGGTGAGGTATATTTTGTACATGTTTCGTGTGGTGAGGTATATTGTGTGACATGTTGCGTGTGGGGAGGTATATTTGTGTGATTTTTGCGTGTGTGAGGTTATTTTGTGACATGTTGCGTGTGGTGAGGTATACTGTGTGACATGTTGCGTGTGGTGAGGTATATTGTGTGATATGTTTCGTGTGGTGGGTATATTTTGTGACATGTTGCGTGTGGTGAGGTTTTTGTGTGACATTTGCGTGTGGTGAGGTTATTGTGTATAGTTTTCTTTGGTAGGTATATTTGTGACTGTTTCGTGTGGTGAGGTATATTGTGTGACATGTTGCGTGTGGGGATATATTGTGTGATAGTTGCGTTGGTATATATTGTGTGATATTTTCCCCCCCCCCAAAAAAAACCCCCGGCCCCCCCATTTTTTTTTTCCCCCCCCCCCCCCCCGGGGGGGCCAAAAAAAACCCCCCCCCCCAAAAAAAAAAAATTTTTTTTTTTTTTAAAAACCCCCCCCCCAAAAAAAAAAAATTTTTTTTAAAAAAAAAAAAAAACCCCCCCCCAAAAAAAACCCCCCCCCCCCCTTTTTTTTTTTTTAAAAAAAAAGGAAAAAAAAATTTGGAAAAAAAAAAAAAAACCCCCCCCCGGGGGGGGGGGGAAAAAAAAAATTTTTTTTTAAAAAAGGAAAAAATTTTTTTTAAAAATTTTTAAAAAGGGCCCCCCCCCCAAAAAAAAAAGGGGGAAAAATTTTTCCCCCCCGGGGGGTTTTTCCCCCCCCCCCTTTTTTAAAACCCCCCCCCTTTTTTAAAAAAATTTTTTTTAAAAAACTTTTCCCCCCCCCCCCCTTTTTTTTTTTTTTAAAATTTTTTTTTTTTTAAAAAAAAATTTTTTAAAAAAAACCCCCTTTAAAAAAAAAATTTTTTAATTTTTTTTCCCCCCAAATTTTTAAAAAAAAAAGGGGGGTTTTTTAAAAGGGAAAAAAATTTAATTTTAAAAAAAACCCCCCCCCCCCCCAAAAAAAATTTTTATTTTTTAAAATTATTTTTTAAAATTTTGTTTTTTTTAAAATTTTTTTTTTTTAATTTTAAAAATTTTTTTTAAAAATTTTTTTAAAATTTTGGGGTTATTTAAAAAAAAAAAGGGGGTTAAAAAGGAAAAAAATTTTTTTTAAATTTTTGGGGTTTTAAAAAGGGGGGGAAAAAAAAAAATTTTTTTTAAAAAACCCTTTTTTTTCCCCTTTTTTAAAACCCTTTTTTTTTAAAAAACCCCCAAAAAACCCATTTTTAAAAGCCTTAAAATTTTTGGGCCCCTTTTCCCCTTTTTAAAAACCCCCCCCCAAAATTTGAATTTGGCACCCCCCCCCTTTTTGGGTTTTTTAAAAAAAACCCCACGAAAAAAAAAATTTTTTAAAAAAAACCGGGGTTTTGGGGGGAAAAGTTTTTTAAAAATTTTTTTTTGGCCCGTGAATTTTGTTTTTCATTTTTTGGCCAGGGTTTTTGCCCTGTTTTTGGGGAAAAGGTGTTTTTTTTTTTTTTCATTGCACAGTGTTTTTTCACTGTCATGTTAGCTTGTATTTTTTTTTTTTTTTTTTTTCGGGCCCTTTTTTTTTTTTTGAAATTTTGGGTTTTTTTTTTTATTTTTTTTTTTTTGTTTTTTTAGTTTTTCCCCTTTTTTTTTTCCCCTTTTTTTTTTTCATTTTGTTTTTCCCTTTTATTTTTTATTTTTTTTTTTTTATTTTTTTTTTTTTTCCTTTTTCTTGTAGTTCAGTTTTTTTTTTTTTTTTTTTTTTTTTCCCTTTTTACTTGTGTTTTTTTTTTTTTTTGGTTGGTTTTTAAAAAAATTTTGTTTTTTTTTTTTGTTTTTTTTTTTTTTTTTAGTTTCAGTACACTTTTTTTTTTTTTGGTTTTTTTTTTTTTTTTTTTCCAAATTTTTTTTTTTTATTTTTATTTCAGGGGGTTTTATTTTGAAAAAAACCCCGTTTTGGGGGTTTTTTTTTTTTTTTGTTTTTCATTTTTTTAAATTTTGGCCGGGGTTTTGTTTTTTAAGTTGGTATTTTTTTTTTTTTGGGGTTTTTTTTTTCCTTGTTTTTTTTTTCCCTTTTTTTTTTTTTTTTTGGTTTTTTTTTTTTTTTTTTTTTTTTTAAATTTTTTTCCCCCGGTTTTTTTTTTTTCACCCTTTTTTTTTTTGGGTTTTTTTTTTTTAAATTAAAAATTTTTTTCCCATCCTCCTAAAAATTTGGCCCCCCCCCCCCTTTTTTTTTTTTTCCCCCCTTTTCCCCCCTCTAGTGACTCACTGAAAGCAATAAGGCTTCACAGTCATGTTTGGCCGGGGGAAAAGGTGGTTTTAAACACCGGACTCCTTCTTTTCAGGGGTTAATTCCACTTATTCTTTTAAAGGGTGTTGGGTAATGTGTCCCCGCACCTCAGTAACTTTTGGGGATTTCCCCGTTCCAATGTTTTTGTTGCGCTACCTTCTTTTAAACCCCTGCTGCTGCCTTCTTTCACCGTCGTTTCTGCCTTCTTGCCCCCTCGCGCTGCCTTTTTTTCACCCTTGCCCCCTTTCCTTTTTGGGACCGCGCTGCTGCCTTCTTGCATAGTTTTTCCGCGGTTTCCACTTAATTACTGATTTCCCATTTGCCTTTGTTTTACCTCCTTTGTCGCCCACATCTACTACGCCTCTTGTTTACCTCCTCGTCCCCCCACATCTACTACGCCCCCTTGTTTTTTCCCTCGTCGCCCCATCACTAAACCCCCCTTGTTCCACCTCCCCCGTCCCCACAAACTACAAAGCCCTCCCTTTTTTTACCCCCCTCGTCCCCCCACATCTACTACGCCCCTTGTTACCTCCTCGTCCCCCACATCACTAAGGGCCCCCTTGTTTACCTCCTCGTCCCCCAAACTACTACGCCCTCTTGTTTTACCTCCTCGTCGCCCCCCATCTACTACGCCCCCTTGTTCACCTCCTCGTCCCCCCCATCTACTACCCCTCTTGTTTTACCCCCTCGCCCCCCACAACTACTACGCCCCCCCTTGTTTTACCTCCTCGCCCCCACATCTACTACGCCCTCTTGTTTACCTCCTCGTCCCCCCCTCTACTAAACCCCCCTTGTTCAAACCCCCTCGTCGCCCAAAATCTACTTTCCCCTCTTGTTCCCCTCCTCGTCGCCCACATCTACTACGCCCTCTTGTTCACCTCCTCGTCGCCCACATCTACTACGCCCTCTTGTTCACCTCCTCGTCCCCCACATCTACTACGCCCTCTTGTTCACCTCCTCGTCGCCCACATCTACTACGCCCTCTTGTTTTACCTCCTCGTCCCCACATCTACTACGCCCCCTTGTTTTTTCCTCCTCGCCCCCCCATCTACTACCCCCTTGTTCCCTCCTCGTCGCCCACATCACTACGCCCCCTTTTTCACCTCCCCCGTCGCCCACTCTACTACGGGCCCCCTTTTTTCACCTCCTCGTCGCCCACATCTACTACGCCCTCTTGTTCACCTCCTCGTCCCCCACATCTACTACGCCCTCTTGTTTACCTCTTGTTTTACTCTGGGTGACGGCCAGCCTGGGTGACGGGCAGCCTGGGTGACGGGCAGCCTGGGTGACGACCAGCCTGGGTAACGGGCAGCCTGGGTGACGGCCAACCTGGGTGACGGCCAGCCTGGGTGACGGGCACCTTCAAACTTGCTCCTTCCATCCTTCTTATTCCTGTGGGTTTCTTGTTTGTATCTCTGCTCATAAAACTTTTCCTTGTTAAAAAAACGGTACCACGGACGGGGATAGAACTCTTGTTGTTTCTTTGCTTATAAAAGTTTCCGTTGCTGTTTCCACAATCATTACTCTCTGTTTCTAATACTTCTCTTTTGCCACTCAAATGTCATACAATCAGTAGTTTTGGATTGTTTCTTGTCTCACTAATAATAATAATAATAGTAATAATAATAATAATAATAATAATCTTTATTTCTACAAGTGTATATACAAGGCATACAGACATAGCTGACATCAATGACATACTACTATATAGAAAG